GCAGCAGCAGCAGGAGGAGCCGTAGTAAAGTAGTACCAGCTGCAGCATCGTAGCAGTCACTGTAGTCGCAGTACTGATGCACGCCGACAGCGTCATACATGCTTGATCTTGGCTCCCAAGTGTCCTCCGTCAGCATTGCAATGTGGTCCACCCCCTTTTGCTTCACCCAGCGGCCGATAAAGATTAAAATCTTTGCTCCAGGGTCCTGGCAGAGGCTTCCGTGAAATGCCCAATGGCTTGCAGCTTACATCCCTCAACCAAATTTGAAAAGATGACGTCAGCTGATTGCTGCCTATTTTTGGGGGATCGATATTCTCGGATCCATGATTACAAAGACGATTCCCACTGCCGAGGCGACTTGGTAATCGGGGCAATCTCCACTGACAGCTTACAGGAGCCCCTTCATGCTAGCTTCTGTGGAAATCTTAACGGAACTTGTCTGGACATGCGACCGCACTTCTGTCATTGGAGAGCAGTACTGGCTCACATGTATGACTGCACTATTCGAGGGAATGGCGTGTGGTTTGCTGGCAGCGTCCCCAAAATAGGCACCCCACAATCTACATTCGTCTATCTCCGGCTCCTCTCCGAAAAGAGAAAGTTCATAAACATCTACATACAGATCAAAGAAAAATAAATGTTTATGTCTGTGTTTTTTGACTATCTATTTTCTATTCAGTTATCATTTGTTTGTTGTGTATGCCCGCGAAGATTCTAAGAACACACCCGACCTCTTACACTGTTTCATGCTACTACAGATGTTGACATGGTGGCACGGATGACAGAGATTTTTCGCAACGGGGCACAGTGTTCAAGTCCTGGACAAACACTGCTGTTGTTTGACGTTGCTCGGCAGTCTTGCATATAGCTGATACGACTACATGCTGGTATACATTCTCGGCCCTTTCCAAAGTGTATAACTTGCTACGTAGTACTAAGTTTGTCAGGATCGGCCCATTGCCCCGATTCAAGCGATCGAAAGTATGTAACCACATGTCAGGATGACAGACTTCTACTATGCATTCACTGGAAGACAGCAGTCCTCGTTTAAGCTGCAGCGTTTTTGTAGCGCTGCCTTGGCGGCGTAACGCCTCCTTTTCAGCTCCTTCGTACCTGCTGGGGGCACTCACTGCTTCAGGCTTCCACAATTTCACCAGAACTTCTTCGCTAACTGCAACAGCAGTCTCTGCCTGTGCCCTGGTCATCCGCTGGATCAGTGGCATTATCCAAAGGCAGGATGTTGGGCAGACCACGGAAGAGCATCCGCTCACCTCGGCTAGGTCTGTCCTGAAGATTCCCATGGTGAGAGGGCCGCAGACGCTTGAAAAGTGTTTGGGTGCTTCGGGTAACGAAGTTCTTCAACATGGACAAACGCAATCGGATGCTGAAAAGGACATGTGAACAGTCTGTTCAGGACACTCTAGCGTACCGGCGACAGAGGCGGTCGCGACAGTGGCAACATGTGGCAATGGTGGTAGCACTTGCACTGGCAGCATGTCCGGTCTTACATACAGGCTCCGGAAACAGGTTTCCCTGGCTGAGTAAAAAAACGCCCCATTGGGGTTGCAATCCTAGCCAGACTACAGTTCTAGACCCTGCAGAGGGGAGGAGGGCATCAGACGTGGCGTGACAAGAAAACAATGAGGGACAGCAAAACTGAAAGCTGAAAGCAATGCAAAAGCAGAAGATAGAATTTATACAATTCAGACAAGGACGACATGACGATGCTAACATGAAGAAGTCGGCTCACATTAACTCGTCGTTGCCCTCGTGGTGGTTGCTGCCGCTCGTGATCACTAGTGTAGCAGAAGCTTGCGATGCCGAGGCACGCTTGAGCTCGGCTGCATAGTTGGCAGACACTGCACAGACTCCATGTCCATTTTGCGTCTCTTTGATGTAGGCCACACCAGCCTGTCCACACGTGGACACGTCGACGGCTGCAATCAACCCTTGACGATTACTACTGTGTTGCTTGTCGGAGGAAAACTGATTCATAGGTCTCTGCGCTCCAGCGGCGTGCAATTATGGGCCCAAAAGGCCTTGAGCATGTTGAATCGTCCTTCGAAGAGCACGTACTTCCGGATGGCCCGAATGCGCAAGTTGAAGACGAGGCCTCGATCGGACATCTGCCGACGCGTGTTGCTGAGAGCGACTGCAAAGGGAGAGTGTCGAAGAACGACAACAACAATGGCAGCAACGACGGCAACAAGACAATTCATGCTGAGAATCCTGATCGTGTAGCATTCGCACCTCGAGCACTGCAATTCGGCTTAGCTGAGGACTCAGTCTTCGCATCGTCGAGGTGGTCTTCCAGAACCGGTCGTTGATGAAGTCCGTTTCAATGACACCTGCACCAGCTGTCACTGCGAAGGTCATAGATTGCTCCGGGAGATACCAGAAACTAAAAGGCCCAGCTACCGCGAACACGGGCCTGCGATGTAAGACAGGACGCAGGCTGACACACTGTGGGTTCAAGTTTCTGATCAACCGAAGCATTCGCTCTCATGGTCTCGTCTTCTTGATCGGTCCCATGGTCTGGAGTCCGCACGAGATTACTCATACTAGCATTACACTTACGAACTGCTCTTCTTCCTGATAATCTTCAATACATATACTGAGATCTTCATATTTCGAAGAGTTCAACGGCAACGGTAGCAACAACAAGTGCCGTCTGACGTGACCAGTGAGAAGACTGGCTTTGCTGTCCCCTGGAAGGGGCACCCATGTAGTCCGCATTGTGCAAGACCAAGATCATCGGAATCGGCTTCTCCTGCGAAGGACAAGCGAGAAGATGCTTCTACAGAACAGGGCATGCCAAGACATGCCTCTCGGATTCGAACAACGAATATTTTGAGAAGGCCATCCAAAGCCGGAGATCTGAGACTTCCGCAACAGAGGCCACAAAAACACAAAGTTGGACCACGGCCATGACAAGAAGTGGAGCTTGCCCGCAGGGTGGGATGTTTGACATGCCATGCCTACCCTGAAAAAGAGCGAGAAAATCAAGTCGCACAGGATGTGCGGAAGCTTGAAAGACTTCTCCAAACACGACTGTCTTCAGAAGGTATGAGATCTGTGCATCCGTGATGCACTCAAGGATGGAACATGCTGCAGAAAACTGCTGACTGGCGCTCTTTCCGCACATCTGCATCAAATTGTTGTGAATATGGAGAACTGGGACCCTCCATGGTGGCCAGAATGCTGCCTGGCAGCATCATGAGGTAGTACAACAATACGAAAGAAAACGACGAGCCCCCAATGCCGGCGCAACTGCTTCGACACAACAGCCACCACCAACCTACGCGGGAGGCTTGTGCAGAGAAGGTTCGAAGGTTCTGCAAGCCAGTATTGCGGAGTCTCACTCCGTGCCTCTTGGTCAACGACGATGTCGACTTGGTGTCCACGACCATGTTCTCTCAACGGCGACGACATTCGATCGACAAGAACCCAAAGATCCAGCGATGCACAGGGAAGGCACGGAAGCATCGGCTCAGAACGGGTCAGAGGGAGACGGCATGGTCTAAACACTTGCGTAGTGGTCAAGGCTTGTCGGTTGAGGCTCTTGGCTTCACCAGGTCATCGTTTTGGGCAATGTGACAGGAGCCCTCCCAAACTCCCAAACATCTGCAAGAGCGAATGGAACCCTGAAAGCTCCGGGAGGTACAGCGGGGCAAGCGCTGCGTGGTAGTCCATACAGTGATAGATGTCTGGCTCCAGCTGCCTGCTTTTCAGGCAGTCTGAGGCTACTTGCACTACGGGGGAACTATATAGGTTAAGCTGCTCCGGTGCTAGGCCTTCCTACAGCAGTCATGTTCATCTCTAAAGTTCGTGTTGGGGAGCGCATCCAGCCTCATGAGAGCTGCGACGGACTGGTTCCAAAGAGAAAAATATCGAAGCACCTGGACTTTGGTCATAGGACACCTCAGCCACCGCAAGCAGTCTCACACCCTCCGACCAACCAACAAACACACACACACACAGAGACGGAGAGATGCACATGCATACGGCGACAGACACGGAGATATCTAACGACTGGTCATGCAAACCTGAGTCACCGACGGGTACGGCGTTGTTTTTGGCCTCTCCGTGAAAAGAGGATGTTCCAGCAAGTGCCTGCGCGAAGTCTTGTATGACACAGAGAGCCAGGGGGGCCAAGGCTAGACAAAGAGCACTTGAAATTTGACCCGTGCGAAGCTTCCCTTCTGTGCCTAATCTAGGAGTTGCTGATTCCAGCTAGGTGTGGCGATACTTCAGTCAATCGCTCAACAAACAGAAGCCTGAGGTTGCCTCTGCCGACGACCCTGCGAATCGAACAAACCCTCCCTAAATTCAGCGCTACCCAGCTCAAACATATCAAGCCCACTCTTTTGCGGAGGAAAAGCCACTGTAGGTCGTTGGTCATGAGACGCAGAAACATGAGCCGACTCGGACTTGGCAATGCTTCTGCAGCGTTTCGGGGCTTGGGCTTAGGGGCGATGAGTCGGGAATCGGCTTTTGGGCCGGCGACTGAAGCAGGCGGATGACGAAATCATTGAAGACATGCTCTGCATGTGCCGCAGAAAAACATTCGTGTGGGCAGGCAAGGCCTGCAAGGTCCAAGAATGTGGCGGGCATGACCGGAACAGCTGCAGAGGTTGCACTTGCACCGTGAACTACAGGCACCCCTGTGACTCTTCCGCGCCGGTACGCCTCGGCAGAGGGAAGCTCATCCCTGTCACTTCCTCTCTGCGATAATTACACTGCACAGAGATGGAAGCTAGATACCTTCTGCATTTGCACATGCGCGGATGCAACAGAGCCCCATCCCTGTCGCGGAGTGAAACGTCCCTGCGCAATGGGACATGAACCGTGCACGAGCCCAGAGCCTTGCACTTTGCGGAGGCTCCTGCATTGTAGGAGCTCTGCCGCGGCACCGCCAGTCACAAAGATTGAAAAAGTTCTTGACCATCTGTTCCGAATGCAACCTTCACGGGGCAACAAGAGGCTAGCGTACTTTTGAGAATGAGACAAAGGCGTCTGTCGGGTCGAGTATAGTAGGCGCCAATACACAGATGCTGAAACTGCACATGCTACACAACATGCGGGCTACATTTTCTTGACATGATGCTGTCTAACTTGGTGGCGTTACTAAGGTGACCTTCACAAACAGCCACGGCAGTCAAGGCTATGGTGATGGCCTCATCTCAGATTCTCGGAACCACCCTGAACTATCTCATAAGCGTGATAAGTTGCATGGCTCTCACAAAGGACAAATAAATATGCTTAGCAAGGATAGTTGTTGTAACAGCTGCAATCATAGAGACGATGACGAGCTTTTGTAGCGCTTTGCTTTCTAACTCTGGCCCTCAGACTCACCGCGCGGGCGGCACTTGGCAAAGTCTTCCAGGCTTCGCAGGCTGCCGTTGATGTTGCGCAAGAACCCCGGAGTCTGCGATTCGAAGCTTAGAGCTACAAGCCGATCTTTGCAGTGATGGCAGTATAGCTGTAGCAATGGTAATAATCCGAAAAAGGAGGAACTCCTCACCACCAGTGTCATGATGGAAAAACCACTGTAACCATCAGCATGATGACGATGGCCATCATATGTCTTTGACCCTGGTAACACCGGTAAAGATGCAGTAAAACCACAGCAGCAGCCACAAGCGAGTACTACTGAGGCTGGCAGTAGAGGTGATGATGGAGAAGAAGAAGATGAGTGTGATGGGGATGTGGATGGTGATGGTGATGGTGATGATGACGGTGACGGTGACGGTGAGGGTGACAGTGACGATGAGGATGATGATGATGATGCTGGTTAAGAAGTAGAAGACGAAGACGATAGCAATCGTAATGATCAGAACAGTGAAGAAAAAATAACAGCAGCCCGAATGACAACAACAGGAATAAGACTAGACCAGAAATGGAATAAGAATACGAATAAGTTAATAAACACAAGACAAGGCTAGAAGGATGATACGAGAATATCACAATGAGCACAAGGATGCTGATGAGAAGGCGGCATGCTGGAATCACTAGCAGTTACGTTCACAAGACTGATTGCTCTCTCGAAAACTGATGCACACTCCTGGAGGCACACGGCTTGGCGGGGCCTCGATCACTTGCGGATGAGACCTTCTTGACAGCCAGCTCGGCTGAGATACAAAGTGTGTACTTTCTTAGGAAGTTCTGCATCTCCGGCCAATCTTGCTGGCCGGTGTCTTTTGGTTGCTGTCGAGCTGGCGGTTCAAACATGTGAAGAGCTTCCGGGCAACACCTACCCGCTGGCAGCTAGCACGCTGTGCCTTTTCGTGGCAGACCGAACACACTGACCCGCAACATTCTGCATCTCTAGCTGCCAGCAACCAGCGCTTCTGCAAAGCTGCTTCTGAGAAAACAACCTCTTAAACGTCGGAGCCTTTTCTTCGCAAATCTTCGCAACACCTCGGCACGGGTCCTACGCCGACCTACTTGCAGCCCAAGCAGATCCACTGAAAGTCAAGGCTTGCCAAGAGGCAAAACCCACCAGTCTTATCCCGAGTCCTGCCAGAGACAATCAATCAGAAGCCGTCCAAGCAGGTGTCATTCCACTTCCCCAATTCTTCTTGACGGGGCATCTACGATACGAGTGGCAAGATCCCCTTGCTAGTAAACCTGCTGGCCAACCCAGACGGTACTAATTGCGCAGAACTGAAACTGTGAGGAGGGGACCACTATCAGCCAGCACTGTGGCTATGAAATGCTTCCCGCTGGACATGCTGGACGCTATCAACCACAAGCCCCACGTCAAGCAAACCCCCCTGCAGCTTTTGCCTCCTAGACCTGGAATGCTGCTGCTTCTTGCCGCAAGTCCAACTGTCCAAACCCAACAGTTACTTGTGATGCCTGTCCTTTGCTTTCGCGGCGGGAGGATTGCTCTTTGGAGACATGGTGGGAGACTCCTGGACGAGAGAAAACCGCTCATGGGGCCTGAAGGAGTCGAGGCTGGCCCTCCCTGATACTCATTAATTATGTGGCAAAATCAGGAAGCCAACATAATGGGCAGTCTGAAGACAAGGAATTCCAATCCAGTCAAATCAGCAAGCCGGCACAACTCATAAATCAAGCTATACATGACCAATATCTTTCAACCCCACCTGTGGAGGCCCGTAACGTCCGGGAGCCTCCCAAAACCAGACCCCCGAAACCAACCGCGACTGCGCAATTCACCCTCGCCTGATGTGTCATCATGGCCATGAACTCTTGGAAGTCAATCTCGCCATCACCGTTTTCATCCAGCTCTTCCATGATCTGATCCACCTGTGCTGCTGTACTGCTCACGTTCTGCCATTTCGGGCTGGATGCCGACTGATACTATTTTGCCGAGTTCGTTTGCTCTCTACCTTGCAAAAGGTGGAGAATTATGGTTCACTGCCGCCCATCTGTCGCTGACTGCGACAGTGCTACGACGACGACGACGACAACGACGACGACGACTATGACTACGACTACCACCACTACGACCACTACTACCACATCTACTACCACTGCTACCACTACTGCTACCACTACTACGACCACTACTACCACATCTACTACCACTGCTACCACATCTACTACCACTGCTACCACTACTGCTACCACTACTACCACCACCTCCAACACCACTACTGCTACCACCACCACGACGACGACTACTACTACTGCTGCTGCTGCTACTACTACTACTACTACTACTCCTCCTCCTGCTGCTGCTGCTACTCCTGCTGCTGCTGCTGCTGCTACTACTACTATTACTATTACTGCTGCTACTACTCCCGCTGCTGCTGCTGCTGCTGCTGCTGCTGCTGCTACTACTATTACTATTACTGCTGCTACTAGTCCCGCTGCTGCTGCTACTACGACTACGACTACGACTACGACTACGACTACTGCGACGACTACGACTACGACTACAGACTACGGCTACGGCTACGACTACGACTACGACTACGACTACGACTACGACTACGACTAGGACTACTACTACTGCTACGACTACGACTACGACTACTACGACTACAGACCACAGCCACCAGGACTGCTACTAGTACTACCACCGTAGGGGGGCCCGGAGCGGGCCTCGTGAGGCTCAAGGTTTCCAAGGAGGTAGCCATCAACCAGCTCAGCCGGCTCCAACTGGCCCGAGTTGTCCTCTTGACAATACGTGCACAGAGGCGACGCTGTTGCCGGTTCTGCATTTTTGAAGCAGGGGGGCTCGCATGGTTCTTGGCTCGTGGGATGGGTGCGAAGGAGTCCAAGTTGACGAGAGGGCTTTCCTGGGATAGGTGCTTCGTGGTGGAATCACAGTCCTTGTCGAAGCATCGAAATGCTGCACGACACACCTGAGTTGGAAAGTAGGCCCGATGTGCAGCTGTCGGGAACTCATTTGACCCTGCTTTTCCGGCATCGAATCCCGTTCCGGTAAACCCTACACCCCAAGCCGAAGCATTAACCCCCAAAAACATCTCACAACCACCCTGGCACCCCGGGATCTCAAGGCCGAAGCCACCGAAGCTCTACCCCGCGCTTCCCTGTTGAAGACCTCCTATTCGTTTATTAGCCGCTTCGGCCCCAAGACCGCTTCGGTGGAGTGCCGGCTTCGATCGAAGGTGGCGGCAACGAACTCGGTGTAGCTGAAGGCCGGGAACTCTTGGTCCAACTGCCCAGGCGAGTCTTAGGAGGACAAGCTCTAACTGTCGTAACCGTGACAGATATCTGGCTTGTCCAAAGCTACTGCTGTCACGAAGGGAAACGGAGACCCAGTCCTACACGCGCCCCGGAGCCTGGAAAGAGGGCTGCGAACGCAGCATCGCCTTTTGGGCTTCAGCCGCTGGAACCGCCGGCGCTGGCTGGGCGGCTGGCTGGGCCGCTGGCTGGGCCGCTGGCTGGGCCGCCTCCTCCAACTTCTCCTTACCATCCTTGCCCTGACCTCCCTGGCTCTTTGCAGCCGACTTTGCAGCTGGTTTGGTGGACGCCTTTGCAGCTGGCTTTGCAGCTGATTTCGCCTCCGGCTCGTCCTGCTTCTGTGCCTTTGGCACGGTGCCTTGGCGGGGTAGCAGAGGACGCGGAAGCTTGCGATTTAGGGGCTCACGGACGGAGCGGAAGGCCTGGCCCCCCGTTCCCTTTCCCAATCATTGCTACTGTTAGCTTTTCATCAGGGCTGTTGCTGTCGTCCCTTCTGCGAACGCTGTCATCATCGCCGCAGCACCACCAGCATCATCAGCTAGTACCACCCGCACCATCACTGCAGCATCAAAATATGACGACAAGCTTAATCCTCAGTGTCACCAACATCCTTCAAATCCCAATCATGCGAATCATTGTCGCTTACTCCCTGCTGATGACCATCCCATCATCACTAGTGTTACCGCGTTTGTCATCAGTATTCTTCTTAGTATGCCCTAGCTACAGTTTACATCGGCCTGAGGATTCAATACTTGGGGCAGGGGATGGGAAGCATCGAAGTTGCTCTTTTTCTCAGAGAAGATGTCCTGCAGGGGCGCCGGATTCCATCGATGAGGCAACAGGATCTCTGAGCTACTTGGCAAGCCTGTATACAAGATCGCCTGAGTCTAATCCTGACATTTGGGGGTAGCGGATAGCACACAAGACTCTATCTTTTCTTTTCCCAGTTTCCAGGTTGAGGTCCAGCCCTGAAAGACTGACTGATTCGGAGTCCTCTGACACGCGTCCCGCGTCTTTCCTGGGCGGACAGGGGTCCGGCACGATGTGTCGACAAGGTTGCTTGTCCTGCTGAGTCTAAAGGGGTGCCGAAGATTGGAAAGAATCTACTCGAATGGCAAACTCCTGGGAGAACAGCACGAAAGTGTAATCAAAAGCCATGAGACGGCTTGTTCGTTTTCAAGTCCTCCATGGCCTCCCGCAACTCGGTCAGCGTGACCTGCTGCCAATGCGACGCCACCGGAAGCGCGCAGCACTAGCAGCCCTTCTGATGTGACAAGCAGCATGCTGCTGGCATTCCAAAATCATTGTATATACAGACTTGAATTAACGTCTCCTGCATGCTTTCAAGCTTCAGGATTGAAACCGAAGCCTTCAACCCGAGATTGACATCACATATGTTTTCATGAGGAGGCGAGACCCCATCAAAGCCTGGGTGCCACGCGCGACTGTATAGAAACAAGTTCAAGCTTGATTCGAGACAGCGACAGCGCTTGCAGCGATTCAGTGGCCGGGCCATGATGTCGCCCACACATCTTCTTAAGCCACGGCCTCGCCATCACCATCCTTGTCGAGATAAATAAACCTCGGCTCCAGGGTTGACTTTCAGCTCTCCATCCTAAACCCGAAACCAAAACCCCCCAAACATCCTGAAGATCACCCGGTTAGTTTCGAAATACGGCTTCCGAGTCCCTGGCAGGTCTCGACCCGGGCGGATGACTTTTTCGGGCAGCATGCTGGCAATGACTGCCAGAGAGGCCTGTTTTCCAGGGTTGTCTTGCGCCACATGGAAAACAGCAACGCAGACAGGTGGAGATCTCCTTAGTCGCCCCTCTTCAGTGGATTCCGGCAATCCGGGAAGCTAGGAGGTTCGATTTGGGCGCAAGACATACCAAGACGATATTCAGAGCTGATGGCGCTGCCTTCCGGAACTTGTTGAGTTTTCGGAAGCCGCGGAGACTGTTGAGAATCTCCTGGTGCGTTCAAGACAGTGGCTCTGCAGCTCCAGCGAGAAGCGCCAGGTAGTTCTGTCATGCTATGACAATGAGCCCCTCATGGTCCCAGAACCCAACGCCTCAATCCGAATTCCCAAAGCCGAACTTCCAACCAAAGTCCTCGTCCACAGCTGCCAGTCTTCTGCGAGGGACCCTCTTGGTGAACCACTTGTGCTTCAGCGCCTGTTGCGGGTTCTTTTTGCGAACTTGTAGGGAGGGCGAACGGATCCACCGCTCACATTCTTCCTAGGTGAAGATGATGGGACAGCGAAAACCATGAGATCAAGCAGCCCTTTGAGGCTGCACACTAGCGCCAGCCAAGCGCCACTCACGAAGCGAGCACTTTGAAGCCTTGATCCTGAAAGCAAGGCCTGACATCCCAGCTCCCCAAGTATAGTGTAGTATATTATAGTATACTATAGTATATTATGGTAGAGTATAGTATATTATAGTATATTATAGCATATTATAGTATATCATAGTATATTATGGTATATTATACTATATTATAGTATATTATGGTATATTATAGATAGTATATTATGGTATATTATGGTATAATATAGAATACTATAGTATACTATCGTAAATTATAGTATATTATAGTATATTATAGTATATTATAGTATATCACCTTATATTATATATTTATTCTAATTACAAAAAACCACAGGTGCCGCCTGCGCGGCTTCGGCCCTGACGGCCTCGTTGGAGTTCAGAAGCTGTCGGGCCAGGTTCATGGCCTCACCTGGGGTTTAGGGTTTAGGGTCTAGGGCTTAGGGTTTAGGGTTTAGGGTTTTAGGGTTTAGGGTTTAGGGTTTAGGGTTCATGGCCTCACCTCAGGGCTTTCGACGGGCAGCCTTCAAGTCAAGGCTCGCAAGCCTGCCTCTCTCAAGACTTGAGAAGGGAGTAAATACATACATATATACATATATGTTACATTATGATATACTGTCAAATACGAAAATAGAATATACGACAATATACTGTAACATACTTTTATTCCTTCTGGCCGGAACAGAGTGAGCTGCGATGGACCCTGAAGCTCAGCACGGTGCCGGATCGCGACATCCACTCCTAGCAGGACAGCCAATCTCACAGCTACGCTGCTGTCAGCGTCCACACTTGTTCGGCCGCTCTCTTCTGGCTGTGACAGCTATGAACTTATCTTACCGGGCCAATGCATCCAACACATGCAAAACCGTCTTTAGCTTTCTCTACTGCTCGCTCTCGACACAAACCAGGACGAGGACCAGGACCAGAACTGCAAGGACTTTGAGGACTGCGTTCTGCCCGCCAGCCTGGCACCAGGTAACTTTTGCAGCGCAGATCTTCCTCAGCAGGTGCGAGCAGCACTTCAATGGCAGAGACAGTCGCGACGGCCGAAGACAATGCAGAACTACACCAGATCAGTTTCATATCTGACGGCCGGAGCCGCTATTCAGAAGAACTGCTCCCTGACTAGATCTGACCAACCTAAGGTCGACCAGGCAAATGAAGCAGAGCGGTAGCACTCAGCTCTTGCCCTCTTGCCATTGCAGGTGACCCCAACGAAGCAGTGGCCGGCATCTAGAACATTCAGTATGTGCTTTCAGCATCTCATGGTCATCCCATGAGACCAACAGCCCACGAAGCCCTCGTTGCCAACTGCTTCCGGGCTTCTTTTGCAGTTCCTCAGCATCTCTGCCCTCGAAAGGTAAGCTTCCACTCCTGAGAACATTGCATTTGTGAAGGCACAGATTGGAATTGAAGGTTGGGGATAGTTGGCCGAGACTCGGGTACGCTGGCAGGGTTCTCCCTGACTGGGGCCCGTCATTGGCAGACGGAGCGTGCAAACTCGTTTCTCCGGCGCTACATCCAGGGCTCTGCCGACAAACCCCTGACCCGGGATCTTAGGTCTTTTGGCCTGAGGCTACCAAGGATCAGGAGGAAGTACATGATGACGCCACAGGCCCATACGTCACACTTGTAGTTGTAGTTGTGACCAAAGACCTCGACAGATTGTGTATCGATGCGCAAATAACGACCAACGAGCAGAAAGAAGTCCCATGCGAAAGGAACGAGAGACGGCAGGAAGTCTCGCACCGCGTCGAAGCTTGAAACCCTCTTCCGACCTGCTTCAAGCCTGACGCTAATTCGTTCGGAATCCTCGCCTGGGGAGACTTGTGGCTGTCGGTGCCGCAATTCCGCTTCATCATTTGCCCATCCTCATATGTACAGGATAACCCGAAGTCCGAGATCCGGATAGCGCTCCTCAGGCACGGCTGCATGTCAACAAAAACGAAGGTACCGAACTGGACAAGATTTCGACATAAAACAAGGATCCTGAGACGCAGCCCGCCACTATGCAGACCAACGAAACAGCTTAACTCGACAGCCCACGGCCAAGAGTCTCAAACTTAGAGTGGGGATGCTTCGCTGCCTTTGGCACCGGCCGCATCACCAGCAGCCTGGCAAATTCATGTTCATCTCGGGACGTCATGCAGGCGTATGACTAAGATCTTCGTAAGTGCACTGGCAGCACTTGTTAGCAGGCGTACGCAAACGACCCGGCAGGCTCTCCGGGACTCTGAAACCTGTGCGAACCTTTTGGCGAGTGGACACAGGTCCCGACACGGTAGGCCCCTACTGCCCCCCAAGGTCTAGCCTCCCGCCCCCAAGGTCCAGCCCAACCCTCTCAGCGCGCAAACGGTCACAGACATGGCGCTAGCCCCCGTCACCAGACTCGTACTAGGTCAACTCCCGCTCTTGCGATTAAAACCCCCCTCTGCCATGCACACCTACCTACCTACCTACCTCAAGGCCCAAATCCTAAACACACCTAAGCCTCAAGCCCCAAACAGCAATATAATCACGATCGCGACATGAGGGACCACCGCACGGAAGGGGATACCCCTGGGGTGCAGAGGGGTGACCTAGCAACGCTGCACCATCTATAGTGACATCCCTTGCTGGAAAGGCGTGCCAAACTCTTGCCAAGCGGCATGTTCTCCGCCTTCCTTAGTCTTCGGACACAGTTTGAGACACACAAGCTTGCGAAAAACGGGAGTTGGCGACTTGGCATAGGATTTTCCATGCAAGGGCCTGTTTCAAGGTGGAGCCGAATTCCGAATTATTTCTGGAGCCACAACTTGTGATCGCCAACAACTTCTTGTCCCATTATACCCAACTCTAGCCCTGATAAGGCTTCCTACTGTTATCGTCAGACTTGAGCAGACCTGAGTAACTCTCATCAGGCCAGTCTTCAGCCTGTGATATTAGCTTATAGTATAGTATGGTATATTATATTATATTGTGCTGCACCAAGGCTCTGACATCTTGATTTGAATGACCCGTGGCTAAGGACATATCAAACGCGAAGGACATCACAATGACGTTCCACTCCAATCCCAAGCAACTCAAACTCAATAATCAAACCCATGAGAATGTCAGCCCTTTGTGGCTGACGGTGGTGATGACATCTCCGGATACTGCAGCAAAGCGTCAGATCCCGATGGCAGATCCTTTGCGGCAAGGCATCTACAAGGCTGGTGGGACTTGTTGCAGAGACTGGAGAAAACAGCCCTTTTGTGTAGCCAGCCCCGAAGCCCAAAGGTTCCTCCACATCTTAGTCCAAGCGACTTGTGATTGTGCATGTAGGCCACCCCGCGCAGAATCTGCTGCATCACGGTTGCCGCGTCCAGCTCATCTACACCGCCCTCCTGAACAACATTCTGGGGTATTCTGGAAAAAGCAACGTCTTGCGAAGAGAATAGCCTCAGCGTCGCTGGGGTAGAGGGCTCGGCTTCGGAGCTATCTGCACACCTTGTTTGGTAGACAAGCAATGAGCAAACCAGCGCCTGGACGTGCTCCTCGAGATCTCCATCCCGACAGAGCTCCTGTGAAGGCATGACTTGCAGGTGGAAGGGCCGGTTGGAGTCGTGGGACTATCAAGCCAAGGCTCCATAACCATGTAGACATTCTTGTCGTCCTCGAAAACCTCAAAGAGCTTCACGATGCTCCTGAGATGCTAGTCAAGTCTTCCGGGTTTAGGGGTACTCGCAGCTTGCCCCCTTTTCACCTGGAACCAAGCCACGGGTGATCCATCATCTTCGTGATGCGTAGCTCCTGCTTCAAGAAGTCAAGCCGTAGTTGACGGTCGCGGCCTTTGCAAAGTACGGGAAGCCTTGTTCTTTCCCAGATGCATGGCAAGAAGAGACTTAGTGACTAGGACTATGACACTATGCAGATGTAAGACCTGCAGGACACGAAGTGAAGGTACACGGGACTCTTGACCTCTACCCTTTACCCAGACCCCGAGACCACAGGGCAGTGAGTCCCGATGCCTGTTTTCGGCAGCGGTATTCGCTTCACCGCACGGATGGCATCCGTAGCACGGACCGTGGCTTTGAAAACAGCTCCGAAGGAGCCTTCTCCTCAGGGACGCACTTTCGCTACCGTGGCGAATGCTTGCAGCAAGAGGATAAAAGCGACTAGCGGGGACTAGAAATGCAATATACTGTTGAGAAGAACGCCTTGCAGAAGTAACGCCACATCCACGACTGCGGATGTATGTCAAAGCTGCGGCCCACGCCTATAGACCTTCCGAGGTCGTAGAAATCGCCAATCTTGCCGGGATTGTCGATATTGATACCTGGCCGAATTGTGGAAATCGAGCTCGTGGCACCTGTAGTGTCTCTCAGACCACCGCCGCAGGCACCGAAGCGCGCCCGCCGACACCACCACAACACGGCACTAAGCTTCTTCCAAGCACTAGTCAAGCTGCTGCCTGCTGCCATCACTACAACACACATGCCGTTGCTGCTACCACTGCTGCCCATTCTTCCGCTTGCTGTCTTAGTTGCATTTCTCACAGCAAGGTCGCAAACCAAAAGCCCTAGTGTGCTAGAATCTACCATAGTTTGCTCTAAAACACGGTAACATACTAGAATGTGCTGTCAAATCTACTACAGTAATATACTATAGTATACCATACTATACTATAAAATACTATGATATACTATAACACATTATACTACACCACTATAACATACTAGAACAACTAGAACATACTCGAATTTACTACAGTATACCATAAGTTCGTTAGAAGATAACATAAGATACTAGATAGCACTTTCACGCACCATACTTCTTTATCACATACTACCTTTTCACTACAAACCTATGACAAAGGGACCCCCTTATAGCCACGCTCTAAGAGAGCCCCTGGCCCCCAAAATTGCTCTCAGCCGGCCTAGAGCTCCGGAGATGACCTCCTCGTCTCCTGGCGACATCATGCTGAAACCTGGAGTATACTTTAGTACATTATGGTATATATGATGGTATAGTATAGTAGACTCGGGTGACTTATACTTGTAGTATGTTGTAGTATGTCATGGTGAAATAGTCTACTAATGGTATACTACAGACTCTTATGGTCTCTTAAAGTATCTTTTACGCACTTATAATCTCTTATAATTTTCCCTGATTGTATCTTGTATCTTCTGGTCTCTTATAGTATCTTATATTGCATATTATGACCTGTAGCGACCTTTTTCAAGAAATGTGCTAGAGAGAGAGCGACAGCGAGAGCGAGAGGGAGAGGGAGGGAGAGCGAGATGGAGAGGGAGATGGAGAGGGAGAGGTTGATGGGGAGGGGGAAAGAGAGCTCGAGGGAAACGAACTGAAACGGCAGAAACTGCGAGCAAGCATAAAAATACTGCAAGCAACAGGAAGACAAACCGGTGGGCAAGCAAACATGCACGTGCTCTCGGGTCCCCAGATACGAAAGTCCAGCTATGCTCGCCGTCGTCAGCTGCTTGCTGTGATGAGCGGAACAGGCTAAAGCCAATCCTAAATCCAAGTCCAGCCGACTTCCGCAAAGCTCGAAACAGCAGTCTTTACAACACGGAAATTGTCACTTGCTGGTCCTGCTCCGAGGACCATGCCTTTCGGTTGTTCCTGAGCAGTCTCTGGCAAGAGACGCGACGGAGTGCTCGCATTGCTGCAACGGTCTCTTCAGCTGAATTTTGAACACTCCACGAACTTCTCGGGCTCCCAAAACGACCCTCACCCCCCAGGTTCCGGGCAGACTCGCCTGCACTTCAACCCTAAACCCTAAACCGCAAGTCCCCATAAACCCTAAAGCCTAAAAGCTGAGGGCCCCGGCATGTTTCTCCTTCTTGCGTTCCATCCGCCGACCCCGCTTCGTGGGCGAGGAGGTGGGTGACGCGTCGGAATGTTCTGACGGGAAGAGGGCTTTGGGGTCCATTCTTTGTATTGTGCAACTATGTATCTTATATGTGGTATCTAAACTGCTTGTAACACTATTCATATTATCATGGTCATGGGCAATATCTACTAGTTGCTATAGTATCAAAATAGTAGCGTATATGATTTGTCTATGGTATCATTATAACGGGGTATGTTCTTCATAATATAGTACAACTTGTGATGAGGCATGTTCTTAACAGTATCGTATCATGGCAGCAGGATATATTATTCATGTTACAGCATTATGCTAATATGGAAACCTGAGGAATGAATAGTATGACTGAGACTGTCTCAGCCCCAAACTTCTGGGGATGTCTGGTTGAAAGGGTCACACGTGTCAGCAACGAAGCCGAGTTGTCAGCCTCCATCGATGACGACGTCACCTGAAGCAGCAAAGCCAAGAAATGTTTCCAGCTTTCCGATAACGGTTTAACTTGATGTGCGGGAGTGCTCGAAACTTCGAGCTAAAATAACAACTACAAGAAAATCACACTAGTACACTATCATCACTGCTATTATTGCTATTCCAAGGACGACGACTACTTCCCTCCTGCTGCTGCTACGGTCCTTCTACTGCTGATGCTGCTGCTGCTGCTGCTACTGCGACTACTGCTACTACCACTCTACCACTAGCACTCCCACTCCCACTGCCACTACGACTGCGACGACTACTACTTCTACTGCTGCTGCTGCTGCTGCTGCTGCTCCTCCTCCTCCTCCTCCTCCTACTACTACTACTACTACTACTACTCCTCCTACTGCTACTGCCACTGCTACTGCTACTGCTACTGCTACTGCTACTGCCGCTACTGCTACTGCTACTACTACTACCACCACTACGACGAGTCCTAATTAGTACCTAACTACCACTACTACTACGACTCCTCCTGCTGCTGCTGCTGTTGCTGCTGCTGTTGCTGCTACTGCTACCACCACCACCACCACCACCACCACCACCACACTACTACTCCTCCTCCTCCGCCTCCTCCTCCTCCTGCTGCTGCTGTTACTATGACTACTACTACGACGACGACTGCGACTACCACCAGCACCACCACCACCACCACCACCACCACCCCCACTGCCACCACTACCACCGCCACCAAAATCACCACCGCCGCCGCCGCGGCCGTGGCCGCCACCACTACCACGACAAGAGCTCAAGACAAGCATCATCCTAGCTTTGATTTCTCGTAGATAGCAGCAGGTAGCAGAGAGCTTCTGCAACAGCACCGATACATGCGTCTTAAAAACACATCATGCGCATGGCGGCAGTGAATGTGAAGCAAGATCTCAATGTAATCACCACCATCTCTGTCACATCATCATGTTACCACGTCGCCTTCATATCCTTTTGTTGTTGACATCCTCATGACCACCACCATCACCACAACCACATCTCCAAAGCTTTCTGCAACACCGCCATCAATCCTTTCACAATTGTCATCTTCATCTTGCGCAGTATCGGTACAGAGAGGGCACACGCATGGAGCCACTTCGTACATCTTGGAACATTGGCTGACAACTTGGCTTACAGGCTAGTCCAGGAATGCTCCTCCTAAGTACGAGATGCGAAGTAGGTTAGGACTCTGCGCGAGAATTGTCACATTGCCCTTCAAAGTATTTCTGTTCCGGCTTCAATGCGTAAAGTCCTCGTAACTTTGGCGCACCCTTCCTGTATAGACATGGTCTTCACGACTGCACAAGGACCCCCCCCATGGGGCACAGACATCTGAACTCACATGGCCTATTGTAGCTTGCTGCGGCTGTACCCACCCTGTTGCAATCAGAAAAGTAGAGCATAAGAACCCTGGCAGATCTGGGATTTGGCCGAGGTTCTGCAGCTCAAGTCGGACATAGTACTTCCAACGTCACTGCCATGGCCACTGATGACCTTGAAAAAACTCCACGACCAGCTGCAACAAGTATTCTTACGAAGGGTTCCTGGATGTTGGGCCTACACTGTGCGTACACCTCCCTCCAGCAATCTGAGAAGGAACAGTTTGAGGAAGATGTTGGCAGGCCGGTCACATATTCAGAGGGTGCACTGGCGGTCGGGCTAAAGTCTGGTTCAGGACAGCACTCACCGAAACCAGAGCAGTTTCTGTGGAAACTGCGGCGCTTCCTGAGATCGGCTTATGCCCAACCCTAAACCGGGGCCACTTGAGCCGAGCTTCCACATCGCTGACCTCAGGCTCGACCCCAGGCCCGTCAGAGAGGTTCTCCAGCAAACCTGAAAAAGCTCAGGCGTTGGTATTGAGGGTTTAGGGGGTTTAGGGTTATCTCCAAGGGCTACTATACGGCTTAAGTGCGCTATGGGGGTACTCTTGGGCTTGGGTTAAGGGTTCGGCTTAGGCAGATTGCATCGTGTCATGTTCATGATGTGGACTGGAATGCTCACGCATGTCCAGCATTATTTGGGCAAAAGGCTGTTTCGAAGCAGCCGCGGATCGAAATGACACGCTGCACAGAGGAAACAGCATGCGGTGTAGCACTGCTTTGTAGAAAGAGCCAATTCCTCCCAAGCCAAAGCCCGACACAGACGGCACAAACCCACAGCCACGATACTTCGAAAGACTGAACCCCTAGCACAATTTTTTTCAAGTTAAGGACACTATTAAGTTGCTGCGAATATTCTGTTAACATGCATCTTCAGTACCCACCTGGAACTGCCGGTGATCGCTGATTCCTACATCCTGAAGGCCATAGCTCTTGAGCCCGAAGAGCCTAAACCCTAAGTCCAGTGCTTGTTGAAAACCCTCAACCCTTTAGTACCCTTGCAGGACCCTTTTGGAAAACCCCATTTAAAAAAGCGTTCCTGACAGTAGCCCTAAAACCCTTACAGTAACCTTAAAGCCCTTATGGTAACCTTCAAAACCCTTACTTTGAAATCCGCATAGTAAACTTGAAACCCTTACAATAGCCTTTTGAAGTCCTGAACCCTCAGAAGTCTAAACCCTAAACCCTAAGTCTTATTCCAGCCCTAAACCTTAAACCCAAAGTCTTGCTCCAGCCCTGAACCCTAAACCCTACTTCTTAGTCCAGCTGGCCGTCGGATTTGTTCTCGTCGGATTTGTTCTCGTCCACCGACGCAGCCGCGTGGGGGGGCTCGGCCAGGGGATCCCCAGGGAGCTCGTCCTCCGGCATTTTTTGTGGGGTTTTTTGATATTCATACGAAGATTACTCGCAATAGTATGAATATTCAAATCTTCATATTCATGATTCTTGATGTTGCTACTAGCATTACTTTTATTCGTGTGATTCTCAGCAGCAACAGTCGTCGCCGTCGTCGTAGTAGTTGTA